GTTTCAGAGTCTGTGACTCCCTCTATCTCTGACCCTCCCCTGCTCACGCTGTCTCTCTCTCTCTGCTAAAAATAAATAAAACATTAAAAAAATTAAAAAAAAAAAAAAAAAAAAGAAAGTTAGTTAGAGATGCCTACCTAAAACAGAAGGCGCCCCAAGTCGTAGGTAAGCACGAGGGAGCCACCCCTGTGGCTCCTGGCACTTGGACTATTTCTACCCAACAAACAGTATAGGAACATGCCTTGTTCAATGAAAAAGTCACCATCAGCATCTGTTATGTATGTCCAGGCTACTGCTTTGAAACGCGAGTGCGTGGTCTAACCTCAAAATTCTACCTCTTCAATTACTTAACCAATCCAATGTGTTCACTGGTTGAAGATCTACTTTCCACAGAATCTACCTCTATTTACACTCTAACGGACCCAGCCCCCAGCACAGGACCCAGCACTGCAAATGACTTAAGTCCAAAGACCCATTCGACAGGTCATTTCAGCGTGTAACCTCAGCTGTAACTCCAACGCAACTGCACTGGCTACGGAGTGTAGCCAGCTTTTCATGCTCCAAAGACTTTGAGCTTAACCACCTGAGAACAAGTGAGAGTCCAGAAAAGCAGCTAGAGGAAGGTGCACTCTGTCCCGTCGCTCTGGTGTCACGAGAGCACAGCTCGCTCAGACGCGCCTGGTAACAAAAAGGCCCCGGTCCTCTGCTAGCTGTGAGGGCTTCTGCCGGCTGCACTCCTGTGGCTCCTTGTCACGTCGAAGCGGCGTGAAAGGCCCAGGTCGAGCGGGCAAGAGCCAAGCATGCCGACGACAGGCCGGGGCCCGCCCTCCGCCCGCCGTCCCCCAGCCCAGTGCCCCTGTGCTGGGGTCCCAGCCACTCTGAGCCCTGTCGGGTGGGACGGGGATCGGGAGGCCACACAGGCAGGCACAGAAAGAGACTCGGAGGACGGTGGGGCCCGCGAGTCCCCGGCGGGCAGAGCCGCCGGCAGCTGTCTGTACGGCCCGGACGGCGCCGGGTGATGTGGGAGCAGGCACTCCCGACGTGGCCTCGTTACCTGTGTTTCCAAGGGAAAACCAAACCTCCCTTGGGATCGAAGGCAACTAAGGAATTCCTAAACAACACTCACTTCAAAACCCAAAACCAGGAAATCCCCCTCAGAGGCGGCGGCTAGTCCTGCTCTCCCTCCTCATCAGGGAGCAGGGAGCACTTTCTGCCGGGCTCAGGGCTGGCTCTCTGCTCCACCGACGGGCAGCACGGCCGGAGACGGGCAGCTGAGCGAGGCAGGCGCCTGAAGATCAGGGGCTGGGCCCGCACAGCGGGCACAACAGAGCAGGCCTACACTCCACTGCCAATTCCTGGGCTCTGCGGACGTGTGGCGGCTGGTCGGCTGCCCAGACGACGGTGTGCGCTCACAAAGGGGTGCTGCCTGAGAATCACCCAAGGGCGGGAGGAAGCCCTCCCACCCCTGGACTTGAAATGACAACAAGGACCAGAGTCGGCTATTCTGTATCCAGACAAAAACTCCTAAAAGAAAACACTGTCCTTGTCTGTAAGGCAGTCCCGTGCAGCCCTGCTCTCCCCAGCCGCTTATCCTCAGACCTGGGAAGCAGGCAAGGCCCGCACGCCCCGGCCTCCCCAAGCAGGCCCACAGGGGCCCCTCAGATAGTGACTAGGGACCCTGAGGTGACTTTCTATAGGAAACAGGAAACAGACCTTAACTCTTGAGGTCAGCTTTCAAACAAACCAACGAACCGGCACCTCTGAAAAGCACGATGCTCCTCTGGCCTGCACGGACCCCGCGCCCTCAACGGGCAGCTCAGCGTGTGCCAGGGCAAGCCAAGTGCGCGTGGAGCTGCGCGCCCTCCCTGCAGGAAGGGGCGGAGGGTACAGGCAGCCGGGCCTGTCTCTTTCGCCTGCAAGGAGCCCACCTGAATGGCACAACGGAGGCCAGGGCTGTGGCCTAAACCCTCCCCAGAGCTTGGACAGGACAGGCCCGGGTAGAAGACCCTCTCTAGGGACACAGAGGCAAGGAGGCAGAGGTGGCACAAAGCGGCCCGCCACAGGCTGGGCACCAGCCCTCTGCTCTAGGCCACTCATCTGCCTTTGAAACAGATAGGGGAGGGCAAATGTTCCCCTCCGCCTTTACTTCCTCATTCCTAAAGCCAATCCATTCCTCCTGCACAGGCGAGGCAGACAGATGAGCCCTGCTTCCCACCTCACTGAAGGCTTCATGTTTGCATAGATGATAAAACAGTGCCCTGGAGGTCGGATCCTGGAGTGTCAGGCGCCCAGTGGGGGTGCTGAGCGGCCTGACCTGGTGGTTGATCCTAAGGAGCCAGAGGGCACACAGAGCCGCCCCAGGGGCACCAGAGCTGGCTCGTTCTACAGGTGCTGCCCCACCTGCTCACCCCCTGAGGGTCAACTTCTATGATTCAAGGACGCCCTGAAAAAATGTCAGCGAGCCAGGTAGTTTTCCAGAGCAGCGAGGTGAGCATCCATCTTTCCAGAGAGGCCGAGCTCACCTCAGAGCACACGGCAGCCTGCACAAGACACAGGACCGGCTCACAGACTTGCCCCGTCAGCTCGCATTTGCTGCCACATGGGACCCAACTTGGCCCGGAAGCCCACAAATCTATGCTATCAACTTTTAAAATATTTACAGACTCACAGGCTGGCGTGAACTCATTTGAAAATCAAGTGCATCTAGAAAACTCTGCCACATGCAAACGTTACCTTCAGCGGTTAACAATGGTCTGCTGACAGACAAGGAAGCAGGTTCAGAGCCATCGGCGAGGGGCTCCGGCGTGGCCAACGCTGCCCAGGATCCTCGCCGTCCAGGTCACGGGCCCCCTGCGAGACCATGACTGCCCTCTACCCGCTCGGGCACGAGCCCGGGCAGCCTCCGTGGGCTCCACGCCCCAGCTCAGGGAGGGCGTGCTCGCCAAGACAGACGCCTCCCCACGGTATGGAAAACACTGGGGACGTCTGTCCAGGCCGCTCACCAGCTTCGTTCGGCTGACCCTGGGGCCTTCCAAGCTGCAAGGCGTGCTGGGGTTTCAGCAAAACCTGCGTGCTCACCTGAAGGTACGTCGAAGCCTCGGGAAAAGTTTAACCTGCTCCAAGACACGCTCCATTAACCGTGCTGCTGTGCTGACCAACTGGGGGAAGGGGGACAAAGTTCAGGAAGTGTCCTCAGAACAGTGGCTTTTATTCTTGACTTTCAAACCTTTGTTGTAACAGTTCGCAGAAAAGACACAGTGCCCATCATTTTACTAAGCCAGCTCTTTCCTCTAGAGGCCTCGCTGGGAGGAGGGAGGAACAGAGAAGGCACAGCAGGGACAATGCTTATCGTTTCTGTTTGTGCCTGTTCTCCGTGACCCTCCCATGGCCCTTCCAGAAACCCTGATAGCAGAGCTCGCCCCTGCCTGCTGCAGGGCCTGGGGCGCTCCTGGCTTCGTTCCTTCCTGTGCGCTCAGGGACAAACCTGGGCGGCCCTCACCCCACCCCCCTCTCAGGGGGGGCACGTCCGTAACTCTCCTAGGGGTGTCTCAGCAAGGAGCCCACAGGAAGTAGCCCTGCCTGGAACAGCCCACCAGTGACTGCACAGCACCCCTGCCCCTCACCGTTGCGTGCTGGGCCAGGAGGAGAGGTCTCCGAATGCGAGATTTGTGTGCAATGTGCTTATTTTCCACCTGTATTCTTACTGAAATTTTTTTCTTTTCAATGTTTATTTATTGTCAAGAGAGGGAGTGTGCGCGCGCACCTGAGGGGGTGGGGGGAGGAAGGGCAGAGAGAGGCAGGGACAGAGGATCCGCAGCAGGCTCTGCACTGACAGCAGCGAGCCCAACACAGGCTGGAACCCATGAACTGTGAGATCATGACCTGAGCCGAAGTCGGATGCTCAGACGACGGAGCTACCCAGGTGCCCCTGACCTTGTAAGAGTATATGACACGCAAGCTTTTTTAAAAGAACATCTTTCTAGAAGTTTCATAGTACCTAGTTCCAGTCCCCTGAAAGTTACATCTAAAGATCATAAAAGCATAAAAAGACATGGAAGAGCCTCTCTGTGGAGACTTAAATGCACATCAAGCAACAGAACAGAAGCCAGCAAAGGCTGCACACTGCATTCCACCTCTGCGGCATTCTGGAAAAGGCAAAACCATTCGGACAGCAGAAGATCGGCTGCTGCCAGGTGCTGTCTGGGAAGGAGGGGTGAGTCCGGGGAGCAGAGCGTGCGGAAGGCAGCAAGACTCCTTGGCAGGACATGGGGGACACACGACCTTGTCCATTTGTTAAAACCCACAGAATGCGTAACACCACGAAGGGGCCCGAGTGGAAACTGTGGGCTTTGTTCGCAGCAATAGATCCATTCGGGATCATCAGTTGTAACAAACACATCATACTAATGAGAGCAAGACGTTTATGATGAAGGAAACTGTGTGTGTGTGTGCGCGTGCGTGGTGTGTGTGCGCGTGTGTCTGTGTGTGTGTCTGTGTGTGTGTGTGTAGGGGAGAAAATGGGGACTCTGCACTATCTGCTTCATTTTCTGAAAAGCAAAAATTGCCAAATTATGAAGTGTATTAATCTTTTTTAAAGTAACAAACATAAACTGTTTCTTCCTTTCTGAAAAACAAATTAGGAGCATTCCTTTTGCATTCTTTGAAACACCGGGGTCCCGCCATGCCTGCGGAGGTGACGAGCACCAGATGGGAGCCTGCACCCCGAGGGCCCCAGCTGGACGGGGCCCTGGCCTGCTCTGCTCAGGGTTCCGGGGGCAGCCCGGCACCAAGGGCTCCCTCACTTTTGGACCGAGTGAACTCTGGGGGCACCAAATGTGTTGATGCCTCTCACCACGCTGAGTGACACCCCCCCGTATCAGTGTCCTGGGGCAGCCACATCAGGTGACCACAGACTGGGCAGCTTCACACCACAGGGACGGGTGCTCTCGGTCATGGAGGTGCCGGCAAGGGGGGCCCCTCCAGAGGCGCGGGGGGGGGGGGGCGGCCCTGCCTGCGCCCTGCAGCGTCTGCTGCAGCAGCACACGGACCCTGCGTGTCTTCTCCTGTCTTCTAAGGACACCAGTCATTGGATTGAGGGCCCGGCCTACTACCCAGCATGATCTCATCTCAAAACCCTCAACCTATTACATACCTGAGACCCTATCTTCAGATAAGGTCACGTTCACAGGTTCCGAGGGATCCTATCTTTTGGGAGACTACCCTTCAACCCCCTGCGTCCACTATGATGATCCAGCAGAAACCCGAGAGGGACAGAGCAGAAGATGCCGGTTCGGTGCTCAGGCCCGGCTCCGCTGGGAGGGGGACAGAGGTCTGATGGCCACTGGCTGCATAAGCACTGCAACCCCTCAGATGCTCCAAACGGAAAGGAGGGCTCCCCTGACCTGAGGCACACTCCTGGAAAATTCAAGTGTGTCAAACAGCACAGAGCCTCCCCCACCTTGCTGTAAAGGGAGCCAGCCCTGCTCCAGTCATGCGAGCAGCCTGTCTACATCACAGGGGCCGGCAGCCCATCTGAAAAGTGATACAGCAGAATCCTGCCGTCCTGCAGCCCCTAGTTGGCCACGTATGACATCTGGCGTCCAACCCCAGGACCGGGCCTGATACCCCTCAAGGTCACACGCAGAATGAACACACCAACCTCGCATAACAGGATGCCAGGTGGGGTGGTCCCTGCCCTCGAGAGGCCCACGCCTGGCTGGTACTTCGCGACAAAGCCGTGAGTGGTGAATGCTCCCAGGTGGCCCAGAGGTCTTGCCACCAGAAGGGACGGTCCGAAAGTGAACCTGTTATCTGAGCTGACCAATGCCCAGAGCAGCTTCTCGGAGCCAGGATACAAGACCCCAAAGGAAAGCGGTGAGTCCCCGTGGACTCCGAGAGGCCACTCTGTGCACCCCCCTCATTTTACCTAGACACTGAAGCTCACAGCCACCAGGTCACAGCCTGGCCCTGCTCCCTGCACCCCTCACTGGGCAGCAGAGGACTGAGGGACTGGTGACTATCATCACCTCCTTCCCCAACAGCTCTTCAGGCGCTCAGCAGTTTCTAATGTATTTTTTTAACAAGAAAAAACCTCCAGGTCCAGCCACATGGGCTGTCCCAGCATCTGCTCACTCCTCCAGCCAGGGGGGGCACAACTGTGGTAGCCTCCTGTGACTGTGCTCACAGGCCTCCGCCCTGCCATGCAGAGAACAAAACGCCCATAATTAGAGGCGACACCATGTAACCATAGCGACCCTGGAGGCAGGTGGCAAAGGGGCATGAGGTGCTACAAGTCCCTAAACCTAGAAAACGATCTGAAATCCGGTGACATGGAAACCTCACAGCAGGTCCTCTGCTCTGGCCTTGCTTGGCAGCCTGGCAGAAGTGACAGCAACTGCACTGGAGAACCCTAACAGCCCAGGCCCCAAAGGAACCCCTGTCGATGCTCTCGGGTGAGCAGTGGGGAGCAGACACCTGCCACCCCCTGCCGCAACAACGAGCACCCCCCCCCAGAGCCCCTAGCTGCGTGCATGGTCCCACTAAGTGGAGCCGGATTCAGGGGGCATAAGGGAAGACGTGTCACATCAGATCCCCTCTCAGCCCCTCAGTGAGAACCACTTGCCTCAAAGGTAACGAAGTCGTCGAACTCATCGGGGCAGGTGGGCGGCTCCTCGTCCCGGGCAGGTGCGACCCCGCACAGCTGGCCATCGGACTCTGCGGGAGATAAGACCCAGTACTCAGCAGGGAGCCCGCACGAGCCCCAGAAGCCACGGGGGACGGCGCCAGGGTGGTGAAGGCGAGTGGGGGCTCGGGACAGCCCGTGAGAAGCGCAGGGGGGAAGGCGGCGCGCCGAGGACGGGGAAGCAGGTGTGCCCTCCCCCCAGAGAGGTGGTGTGGAGGCAGAATGAGAAAACGTTTGTTTCTTAAGACCCCCAACAGCACTGTAGAAGAGGAGGAGCAAGATCTCAAGCCTGTCACACTGGTCACGGGCTTTAAAAAGTATTAGGTGGGGCGCCTGGGTGGCTTAGTCGGTTAAGCGTCCGACTTTCGCTTAGGTCATGATCTCGCGGTTCGTGGGTTCGAGCCCCGCGTCGGGCTCTGTGCTGACTGCCAGCTCAGAGCCTGGAGCCTGTTTCAGTCTGTGACTCCCTCTCTCTCTGACCCTTCCCTGCTCACGCTGTCTCTCTCTCTCTCCTAGAAATAAATAAAAAAAAAAATATATTAAAAAAAAAAAAAAAATAAAAAAAAAAAAAAAGTATTAGGTGCCAGATTTAAATTTTTTAAACCTGTGGGGCGAGGGGGGGGCGGGGGGGGCGGTGTAGGTGTGATGAAACTATACCAAAATAGCATCTTGCGCTCGGTGCTGGAGTCACTGGCAGTTTCTATCTTCTTCTTCTTCTTCTTTTTTATTTTTTTTACATTTATTTATTTTTGAGAGACAGAGCACAGGCAGGGGGGTGGCGCAGGGCAGAAAGAATAAGACACAGAACCTGAAACAGCCTCCAGGCTCTGAGCGGTCAGCACAGAGTCCAACACCGGGCTCAAACTGACACCGTGAGGTCATGACCTGAGCCGAAGTCGGACACTTAACTGACTTAGCCACCCAGGTGCCTCTCTTCTTCGTTGTTGCTGAACTTTATCTTCTGTAATAAATGTCTTATTTTATAATAAAGGCAATTTCAAACCCAAAATGAAGGGGCTCAGACAGCTTCCGGGTTAATGGACTCATCAACGTGCCAGGAGGTGCAATGCAAACTCGCTGGGGCAGAAGGTGTGTTCCAGGCCCGGGCACACTTCACCCTGTGCACCTCTTCACCTGGCTGTTCGTATGTAACCTTCTGAGTACACTGCTAACGGTAAGTAAAGTATTTCCCTGGGCTCTACGAGCCTTTGCAGCAAATTATCACGCCTGAGGGAGGGGTACTGGGGACCCTGGATTCACGGTCAGGTCAGAGAGAAGTTTGGGTGGCCCAGGCACCCAAAGGCTTCACTAACTCTGACAGCTGGTATCAGAGCACATTAAATCGTAGGACACCCCGCTGGTGTCCCCAGAGAAAACCTACACACTGGGTGTCAGTGTTATGAGCAGCAAACAGATCATAATAGGAATTATTTAAAAGACATCACTTAGGGCGCCTGAGTGGCTCAGTCGGTTATGCGCCCCACTTTTGGTTTCGACTCAGGTCATGATCTCACGGTCCGTGGGATCTAGCCCTATGTCAGGCTCTGTGCTGACTGCGCAGAGCCTGCTTGAGATTCATTCTCAATACATCTCACATAATCTAACAAAACTTCAGTCCCTTATTTTTTTTTTTTAAAGTAAGCTCTATGCCCAATGTGGGGCTCAAACTCACAGCCCAAAGATCGAGAATCACAAGCACTTCTGACTGAGCCAGCCAGTCGCCCCCTGAGGACACTCCTCTTTGGCAGCAGGACCTCAAGGGGAGAAAGCTGCTAGCCAAGCCCATGCCCTCCAGCCAGGCTCTGAAGAGTCAGTGCTTTGAAGTTACCACGAGAGCCCAGGTAAGTGCGGAAGGGTGAACGGATACTGAAGGACCCTTCAGCACACAGCAACAGCAGGACCCGTCCTGTTTCTAGAGGACTCTCTTGGGGCGCCTGCGTGGCTCAGTCAGTTAAGCGTCTGAGGCTCAGGGCATGATCTCATGGCTTGTGGGTTTGAGCCCCGCATCGGCCTCTGTGCTGACAGCTCAGAGCCTGGAGCTGCTTCAGATTCTGTGACTCCCTCTTTCTCCAGCCCTCCCCTGCTTGCACTGTGTCTTTCTCTCTTTCAAAAATAAACATTAAAAAATTTTTTAATTAAAAAACTAAAATTAAGAATTTTCTTAATTTAAACAGAATAATGCTTTTTCCCCTCAACAACTGTGTGAATTCAAATCTGTATGTGTCCAGCAGTTATGAGGTGCTCAACACAAACCTAGTTTGCAGCACTGATCAAAGCCTTGATGCCAAAAAAACTCCCATGCGGCTTTTAAGCAGCACAGGCACTCTGTCGCCGTGTTTCGTGCCATCTTCCCGGGACGGCGTGCGCTGGAGTCCCCGGGCTGGGAGTCGGGGTCTCCGGCGCAGGCGATGGGGCGAGGCTAGCTGTGGACACCAGTCTGGGGTTTCTGGGGCGAGGGGCTGGAGGGCTCCTGTGCGCTTTGAGACTGCACGTGTACTTTGTAAAAAGCTACTCTGTCTTTGGCCTATTTCCCCCCTCAAATGGGAACAGTCTTCCTTGCCCTCCGAAACCTGAAACAGAATTCGAAGCTCTCGAAACACACCCGATGGTTCTAGACACGGTGGATGTGTGCTCAGCCTCGAGGGGTGGGCAAATGGCCGAGGGGTCTTGGCGGGGCGGGCGGGGGGGGGGGTGGGAGTTGCAGACAAAGCTGGTGCTGTCATTTTCCTCACGGGGACTAAGTGTGGTTCTCTTGTATGTTTTCTCCATATGAACAAAGACAATTTTCAGTCAGGTGGACATTTTCTTTTTTTTTTTTTTTTTTAATTTTTTTTTTTATGTTTTATTTATTTCTAGGAGAGAGAGAGAGAGAGAGAGAGAGAGAGAGAGACAGCATGAGCAGGGGAGGGTCAGAGAGAGAAGGAGTCACAGACTGAAACAGGCTCCAGGCTCTGAGCTGGCAGTCAGCACAGAGCCCGACGCGGGGCTCGAACCCACGAACCGCGAGATCATGACCTAAGCGAAAGTCGGACGCTTAACCGACTGAGCCACCCAGGCGCCCCCAGGTGGACATTTTCAATGTGCTTACCCTCCTCTTGCGGAGCTTGGGGAGAAGGGGCAGCGAGCGTAATGGCCTGTCTGCAGCAACCCGCACCCTCCCCAACTCACTCTATTCCTGAAGTAGGTAAGGCCGTGTGGCATGCCAGTGAGCAGCTCCCCGCGCTTTGCTGCAAACTGGGTCGACGCGCCGCGTGCCTGGCTGTGTCGTTCCCGGGTGCGGAAAAAGCCTGCCTCCCAGGACGGGGCCCGCACGCCGGAGCAACGCCGGGGGACCGCTGTGTGGAACGTGGGTCCCGAGGCGTGTGCTGCGTTCTGCCAGATGCGAGCAGGTAACAATTTCAAATTCACCTTTGACTTGCTCTCGTTATAACTCTATTTTCACTCTCCTTTCCTCATGAAACTTAAGCAATGAAGTCAAACTACAGAAAAAAGAAAAGCGAAGCCCGAATCCCTGAGACCACCTGGCAGTACGTCCGATGCGGGTGGGGCGACTCCGCCAGCGTGGCCTCTCCCCTGGGCCCACACGGGCTGTGGCGGCCCGGACGCCCGGCGCCTCACGCTCGCTCCAGGAGGAGGACCCGGTGAGCCGGCGCTGAGCCCAGGGGGGAAGTCCAAGTCTTCCCTCGTTGCCCACGGCCTGGCCGTGTCCCCAGTACCTTCACCTCCACCTTGTGACGCCGGCTGCCCAACCTGGCCACGATGGCCTCCCCGCGGCCCCCAGACGTGCCCGCGTGCCGTCCCCGGGCACCCCTACTCCTGCCTCGCCCTCCTGTAGCTGCCCTGCCTCACTGTCTGCAAGCTGTCCTCCACCGGAAAGCCAGCTCCCGGGGCAGGGGACGCCGTTCTTCCATATGTGCTGTGTCCCTGGAGCCGAGAGTAGTCCGGCTCCATGCTATCTGTGCCCGCCGTGCTCGCAGGCCTCAGCCGGGCCTCCGCTGGGTGTGGCCCTCACGCCATCTGCTTCAAGCTCTCGTCACCACGGTCCCTCAGCCCAGGCACTGGCCGGAGCCCCTCCGCCACGCACCCCAGCAGCAGACTGGGCCCCCTGCGCCCGGGGCTTACCACCTCACTTCAGGAGCAGGGGTCTGCTCCGTGCAGGCTAAATTCCGGGCAGGCGGACACCACCTGCAACGCGCCATCACATTGAGACCAAGCCCCACCCTCTCTGGAGAAGCTTCTATTCCAGAATGTTCTCGCCAAAGGAAAACACACAGCACTATTTCCTGGAGCGTCCATGCTAACTGTGGGACTGACTGGGAGGTTTTTGATTTTAATTACACCAAAGTGGAACTACTACCACCCAGAATGAGAAAATACTGAGACCCAAATGAGTCCCATGGGAGCTCTGTGGGGGGCGTGGGCCGGACGAGGCAGGACTTGCGCTGCGGTATCCGGACTTCGAGGCTCAGAGCAGCGAGGTGCTGCTCCCAGGTTCAGAAGACAGTGCAGCCGCAGCACTGGACAGACAGCGCAGCCGGCCAGGCGCCGACGAGGGTGCGGAGGGACCGGGTAGCGCCGGCCAGGGCAGCCAGGGGACGGGCTGCGGGGAGGGCCGGCTGGAGCGAGCTCCGGCCAGCTCCTTTCTGGCACCGGCCCAGGATCCGTCCCAGGGTCTCGCCCCAGGCTCCCCTCCGCCAGCTCCTGGGACAGATGCAGGGGGACAGTCCACACAAAGGCACGGAGGAGGGAGGAGGGGTGGCAGGTGCAGGCGGAAGCCGTCTCGGTGAGTCAGGGTGAGGTCAGGACTCAAGGACACAGGCCACTTCTCTCACCAAACGGATATCCATGTGATCCTTGAGTCACTCAACTTCAGGACACATGCAACCCACGAGACGGCCCCTCGGGGCAACGGGCAGCAGCCCCTCCCTCCCCACAGATAAAGGAGGAGCCTGTGGAGAGACGGCTCTTCTCCCCAGCCAGGCGCCAGCGGGTCACACGTGTTCCCGGAGCACTTGCTGACTCCAAGGTCGTGACCCACCAGGAACTCCTATAGCTGAGCTCCACGTGGCATGAACTGTGCCTACGAGAGCAGACCGGCCACCAGGCTACCCACAGGATCCCGGACTTGACTGAGAGAGGGCCTCGGAGCCACATGGACGGCGCTGGCCATCCGGCTGCCTGCCACCCTGGGTTCTCTCCTGCCCATCCCCACGGGACCAGCTGCCACTGCTGTTCCCGGCCCTGACCCTTGCGAGGCATCCGGGTGCTCAGCCCCCTCAACCCAAGGAAGCCCAGTCCCGCCCCTCTGGCCCCACAGTTTAGACCCAGGGACACACGGACGCTGCAGGCTTCCCACCTGACAGGCGCGGCCAGCACGCTGTGCTTCTGCCATCACCAGGGAGACGGGCTGCAGTCTGTGACGAAGAGTGGTCACGAGAAACCCAGGGGCACACGTCATCCTCCCGTGGCTGGAGAACGGAACAGTGCTGACAGGCTGAGGCGGCACGAGGCAGTCCTCGCGCCCTTAGCCTGTCGTCCATGTTCCTCTACACAGTGTTTCTAAGTAGTTCCTGTGACCTCCTGGATTCTAGAATTTTCTACCGACATCCTGCATAGTACTTGAGAATTTTAACATACCTTCTCCACTTTCCCTCTCCCGACCTTCCAAAATGGTCCAGTCTTTGGTTACATAGTCAATTTGTGTAATTATGATGACTGTGTAAAACAGCATTCATTCCGCAGCCACGCAGTATTCTAGAAGCATGCTTCCCGTCTTTTCCAGCTTCTTGCTTCTCCTGGCAATCTTACTTGTTTTCCTGGGGCCTTAGGCTTGGCCTCCGTGCATCTGTCACCTTCCTACCCCCAAACCACTCAGGCAGAGCTGTGACGCCTTCTCCAACAGCCCTCCGGTCCTGGGCTCCTCAGATTCCATCACCAGCAACCCAGCACGAGGGTGAAAGAAGGCTATCTAAACCTAATGATGCCGCCACCTTGGTGGGACACACAGCTCACATATGTATTTGTTGACTGATCTGTGCGACTCACTGATCTTGTGACCCTGAGACCAAACAGACAAACACAGTAAGTCTTGACCGTGCACACAGGAGCCCGTGTCCTTTGGCTTGAGAGTAAGGACTCCATCAAGCATGCACACCTCAGGTGTAAAAGCCGGCTGTGTGGTACACCACAAAATACACTCCACAAACGTCAGGGAGTGAATATAGAAGCGCGACTGGGTGGCTCCGTCGGTTAAGTGTCAGACTTTGGCTCAGGTCATGATCCCGTGGTCCGTGGGTTCGAGCCCTGTGTGGGGGTCTGTGCTGGCAGCTTAGAGCCTGGAGCCTGCTTCCGATTCTGTGTCTCCCTCTCTCTCTGCCCTTCCCTCACTACTTCTTCTTCTTCTCTCTCTCTCTCAAAAATAAATAAACATACATTTAAAAAAGAGTGAACACAGGGATCCCATTCTCTATCACACACGATTAGGTTTAAAATTAATGACTTTTTAAAAGTTTTTTTCTCAATGTTTGTTTATTTATTTTTGAGAGAGAGAACGTGAACAGGGGAGGGGCAGAGAGAGAGGGAGACAGAGAATACGAAGTAGGCTCGGAGCTGACAGTGCAGAGCCCAACACAGGGCCAGAACTCATGAATCATGACCTGAACCAAAATCTGATGCTTAACCCACTAAGCCACCCAGGCGCCCCTAATGACTTAGATTTTTGTTTGTTTAATGTTTATTTTTGAGAGAAAAAGAGCCCGAACAGGGGAGGGGCAGCGAGAGAGGGAGACACAGAATCTGAAGCAAGGTGCTAGGCTCCAAACTGTCAGCACCTCATGACTAGATTTTAAAATATGTTTAGAGGGGCGCCTGGGTGGCTTAGTCGGTTAAGCGTCCGACTTTCGCTTAGGTCATGATCTCGCAGTTTGTGGGTTCGAGCCCCGCGTCGGGCTCTGTGCTGACTGCCAGCTCATGATCTCGCAGTTCGTGGGTTCGAGCCCCGCGTCGGGCTCTGTGCTGACTGCCAGCTCGGAGCCTGTTTCAGTCTGTGACTCCCTCTCTCTCTGACCCTCCCCTGCTCACGCTCTCTCTCTCCTAGAAATAAATAAAACATTAAAAAAAAATAAAAAATAAAAAAATAAAATAAAATATGTTTAGAAACCAGGGCACCTGGGGGGCTCAGTCAGTTGAGTGTCCGACTTCGGCTCAGGTCATGATCTCACTCACAGGTTTGAGCCGTGTCAAGCTCTGTGCTGACAGCTCAGAGCCTGGAGCTGCTTCAGATTCTGTGTCTCCCTCTCTCTCTCTGCCCCTCCCCTGCTCATGCTCTCTCTCTCTCAAAAATAAACATTTAAAAAATACATTTAGAAACTTAAAAAACTTTTAAATTATTGATGAATCAGAGAAATCATTACTGGATTTTAAAACAAAGAGAAAAAAGCATAGACTTGGAGTTCCTCAAAGGTTTACCAGAAGAAGCTGATGGAGCACAAAGCCATCCCAAGGGTCTGGGCACAGGTGTGGTGGCCCGGGGAGGTCATGAGGAGCATGGCTGGGGGCATGGGAAGCCGCTGCATTCAAGAAGCCCCCACAGACACTGGAGGTGGGGCAGAGGCCCAAATGTGCATGAAGCCACCGTCAAACTCTTTGTGCAAAAGGGTGAAGGCTTAAATCACTTCCTGTGTCAACTGCATGTCTAACCTCAGAAAATGGCCAAAGGGTTACAACGTACTCGTGACAGGTTACGCACACGGGCACACGGTGCCGAGCTTAAACATCACAGTGCATCTGAAGGCTCTTTGCCTCCTCCCCTGGCCCACGTGGCGTTACCACGTCTGTCAGCCCTGCCAGCTGGCCCAGCTCCAGAGGGTCTGCTGCTCCACCTGCTCTATGTGGCTCTCCCCAGGCCCCGTCTGCCCAGGCGCTGGTGGCACCCTCGCCACGGCCCCAGGGCCCGCGGCCTGCCCACCGTCAGCCTCAGCCATGCTCACCACGTAGGCCTCGGGACAGCTCCGCCACCTGGACCAGACCTCACTCCGGCCAACCTTACCCGGCTCCCCTGTGGCCTCCTCACAGAGGGCTCCTACCTAGGGCCAGCCTGCATGGTTCTATGGCATGGCCCCCAGCCCCCATACGGACCGTTCCCAACCTCAGTGTGTGCTCTGGACCCAAAGGACCACAGGCCCCCGGACCATGGCAGTATGCACGCAGGTCACGATACACAGAGCACAGCTCAGAGGCACCCGGGCTCAGCGTTGTAGGAGCCCAGCTCCTAGAGGGCACTGTTGGGCGATACAGCGGACGGACAAGATGGGCGACTCTGCCTACAACTACTGATAAAACTTGGGGTCCAAGGGCCTCCCTTGACCCAGCCGCTGCAGGTCCTGCCCAGGTCTCTTCTTCCTCCTCCTTCTCTGACATGTGCAGGAAGAGAGGAAGGGCCTGCACCCAGTGCCTTTTGGCCTCCATCACCCACACACCAGGCTGCAGCTGGGCCATGAGAAAAAGAGGCCTTCCAGAGCTCCAGAGCTGCACGTGAAGGGACAGAATACGGGCAACCTGAGAGCATGTAGACACTAAGCTCACACCCAGAGGACCAGCCACCCCCCCGCCACAACGTGTACAGGCCCCGAAGGCATGAAAACATGCGCCCACACACAGACTTATACACAAAAGTCACTAGGACCTTTGACTCCTAATAGCCCCAAAGTGGAAACATACTAGCCGCCAGGGGAGTATCCACCCCTGGGCAGGGATAAACAACACGTGGCACAAGCATGCAACGGAGCAGTGCTGCGCGATGAAAATGCACACTCCAGCCGTGCGACAATGTGGGTCTCAAAACCGTCACACACAGGGAGAAGCCAGATGTAAGAGCATATACAGATCATTTCCTTTGTGTCAGGTGCATAAGAGGCAAAACTGACCCAGGGTGGTGAAACTCAGCCCAGATGGTGCTGAAAGGAGGAAGCGTCTGCAGGGGTGAGGACAATTGGCGGAGATTCGCATTATTAGGCATAAGAATTTGTCAACATTCACAGACTGGCTTAAGATTTGCTTTAAGATTTGTGCATTCCACTGTCAATTTTTACTCAAGGTAAGACCACAAACAAATACTGAACTCTGGGTAAAAGACTAGAACACAGGAAGTGTTTACGGTGAAATGCATGGAGCATACGATTTGAAATGCATCCCATTCAAAACAGGATGGCTTGTCAGCCAAGCAGAGGATGGACTGATAGACAACAAGGTAAATGCAGCAACAAGCACCTGCTGGGCACCGACACCAAGCATGCACGTGGGCGCTCACATGTAAGCCTTCCGGTGCTCTGGTACGTCTGGGGAAAGGGGCAGTAGCTTTCTAACATTATGGATAAAGGACTGAGTTAGACGGTTCTGGAAGACAGCACGTGTGAGGAACAAAGAAGAGGGAGAGAGCACCCTAACACCCAGAGTATTTTAGGGGCTTTGAGGAGAAGGGAAGGAGCCTGACGAGTGAGGGGCATTCCTAAGGTTGGCTGAGGGCACAGCGGGGCAAGGGCTGGAGCAGAGAATGTGAGGGGAAGGAAGCACAAGGTGGGGGAGACTGACCTCCATTCCTGATGGCAGTGATCCCTCGGCAGAAGTCCTCAAAACTGATCACGCCAAGCCCGCAGGGGTCCAAGTATTTCGTTAAGTCCTTCACCTGCAATTGTCAAGTGAGATACGTTACCCAAGCCGTACAAACTCAGCCAGAGGGTACGCCATGCGTCTGACACCTTCGCCACACCCAGAGGAGCAGCATTCCGGCCGAGTGTGGTGCTGAAAATAGGAGCCACTGATCCCTCTCTTCTGAAGGCCACCAGCAGCTCCAGCCCAAGACAGGCGGCCTCTCAACAAGCTGCCAACAGCCCCCGGGGCCATGACTCGTGGAAGTAAGGCCCTGCTCTCAAAGGTCAAGAGTCAGGCTTCTGAGGCACCTGGGGGCTCAACTGAGGGTACACCAAGCGTCTGGCTCTTGACTCAGGTCATAATCTCACAGTCTGTGGGATCAAGCCCTGTGTTGGGCTCTGCGCTGACAGCTCAGAGTCTGCTTGGGATTCATTTATTCATTCATTCTCTCTCTCTCTCTCTCTCTCTCCCTCCCTCCCCACAGCTGCTGCCCCGCTTGTGCTCACCTGCTCTCCTCCCACCAAAGTAAATAAAAATAAACTTTAAAAAACAAAGTCATGCTTCCTGATTGTGAAGGTCAGAAGTGTTCAAGTTTTAGACATTATTCTGGCCAATATCTAGATTATTACCACAGCACAGACCCACCTACCCATTCTGACAGGCCTTCCCAGCTGTGCAGAGTCCTTAGTAAAAACAACTTAAGCAAGAAGACGCTGGATATCAAAAATCATAAAAAGATGACTCATATATGGATTTTAGAGAATGAAACTCTTCAGAAAGAAGATACATTTATACTTTCAAATATAAGCTTTGATTCATCAAAATTTTAAAGTTTTATGCTTCAAAAGACCCCATTAGTAAAACTAAAAGACAAGACCTAGACTGGAAAAAGATGTTTGCAAATCGTATATCCAATAAAGGACTTGTAACCGGAATGTATACAGAAAACTTACAATTCAACAACATCATAATATTTTTTCAAACAGGCAAAACATTTATATAGACATTCCACCAAACAAGACAAGTGGCTGGGGGTGCCTGGGTGGCTCAGTCGGTAAGCGTCTGACTTTGGCTCAGGTCATGATCTCATGACTCATGGGTTTGGGCTCCGTGTTGGGCTCTTTGCTGACAGCTCCGAGCCTGGAGCCTGCTTCGGATTCTGTATTTCCCTCTCTCTCTGCCCCTCCCCTGTTTATGCTCTCTCTGGCGCGCGCTCTCTCTCTCTCTCTCTCAAAAACAAATAAACACTAATTTTTTTAAAAAAAGATAGACAGGGGCGCCTGGGTGGCTTAGTCGGTTAAGCGTCCGACTTTCGCTTAGGTCATGATCTCGCGGTTCGTGGGTTCGAGCCCCGCGTCGGGCTCTGTGCTGACTGCCAGCTCAG